ATAAATGTTTTTCCTTCTATCTATCCCTACTGTCCAAAAAATGTTAGGCCGTTAATACAAAAAAAAAATCACCCTCAGTAGTTCATGTTCATTAAATCAGGAAATATTTATTGAGTCAAGTATTGGTCTAGGCCAGGTTCATGATATATAATAATAAGCATTCTACCTTATTAAGAAAAGTGTTGTTTATTGTTTATTATTTGCTTGTTTCCATTGATGGTCAGTAAGCTTGAACTATATAAAATCTAAAGTCTCAAAATGAATCTTTTTTAAAGTTTTTGTTGTTGTTGCTAAAGCCTTTTTTTCTTTCCCCCAGGATTTTATTTAAGTTCTAGTTAACATATGGTGTAGTGGTTTCAGGAGTAGAATTTAGTGATTCATCACTTACATATAACTCCCGGTGCTCCTCACAACACATGCCCTTCTTAATGCTCATGACCCATGTAGCCCATCTCCCCACTCGTCTCCCCTCCAACAGCCCTCAGTTTGTTCTCTGTAGTTAAGAGCCTCTTATGGTTTGCCTCCTTCTCTGTTTTTATCTTATTTTATTTACTTTTCCTTCCCCTATGTTCATCTGTTTTGTTTCTTAAAGTACACATATGAGTGAAATCATACGGTATTTGTCTTTCTCTGGCTGACTTATTTCACTTAGCATAATAAACTGTAGTTCTACCCACATCATTGTAAATGGCAAGATTTCATTCTTTCTGATGGCTGAGTAATATTCCATGGTATATATACCACATCTTCTTTATCCATTCATCAGTCCATAATTATCCATAATTTGACTATTGTTAATAGTGCTGCTATAAACATTGGGGTATGTGTGCCCCTTTGAATCAATATTTTTGTACCCTTTGGATAGATACCTAGTAGTGCATAGGGTAGTTATTTTTAACTGTTTGAGGAACCTCCATACTGTTTTCCAGAGTGGCCGTACCAGCTTGCATTCCCACCAACAGTTAGAGGGTTCTCTTTTCTCTGCATCCTCCCCAACATCTATTGTTTCCTGAGCTGTTAATTTTAGCCATTCTGACAGGTATGAATGAGGTAGTATCTCATTGTGGTTTTGATTTGTATTTCCCTGATGATGAGTGATTTTGAGCATTTTTTCATGTGTCTATTGGCCATTTGGATGTCTTCTTTGAAGAAATATCTGTTCATGTCTTCTGCCCATTTCTTAATTGGATTATTTATTTTTTGGGTGTTGAGTTTGATAAGTTCTTTATAGATTTTGGATATTAGCCCTTTACTGATATGTCATTTGCAAGTATCTTCTCCAATTCTGTCGGTTGTCTTTTGGTTTTGTAGACTGTTTCTTTTGCTATGCAAAAGCTTTTTATCTTGATGAAGTTGGAAGGTGGTACTAATATCCTCAATAGGGAAAAACTGAGAGCTTTTCTCCTAAGGCCAGAAACACGACAGGGATGTCTACTCTCACCATTGTTTTTTTCAATATAGTGCTGGAAGTCCTAGCCTCAGCAATCAGACAATAAAAAGAAATAAAAGACATCCAAATCGGCAAGTAAGAAATCAAACTTTCACTCTTTGCCTCTGACGTGATACTCTATATAGAAAACCCACAAGACTCCACCAAAAAATTGCTAGAACTAATATAGGAATTCAGCAAAGTTGCAGGATATAAAATCAATGCACAGAAATCTGTTGCATTTCTATACACCAATAATGAAGCAGCAGAAAGAGAAATCAAGGAATTGATCCATTTACAATAGCACCAAAACCCATGAGATACCTAGGAATAAACCTAACCAAAGAGGTAAAAGATCTGTACTCTGAAAACTATAGAACACTTATGAAAGCAATTGCAGAAGGCATAAAGAAATTGAAAAACATTCCATGCTCATGGAATGGAAGAACAAATATTGTTAAAATGTCTATGCTACCCAAAGCAATATACACATTCAATTCAATCCCTATCAAAATAACACCAGCATTTTTCACAGAGCTTGAACAAGTAAATCTAAAATGTGTATGGAACCAGAAAAGACCCTGAATAGCCAAAGTAATGTTGAAAAAGAAAACCAAAGCTGGAGGCATCACAATTCTGGACTTCAAAATGAATCATTTAAAATGTAGGCATACACAATATATGAAGTAATGATTATTGTATTAGCAGCAGCAAAATCTAGTGTGATAAATTAGGTAGCTGAGAGATATTCCTGCTTGTTCCAGAAAAAGGGGTTTACCTCCATGTCTTTTGACTTTTGGGGATAAGCCACATTACTTGCTTAGGCTGAGGAAACATTAGCAAATCTAACACAAAAAGAGATTTGAAGTTTTTTGCACAGTTGGGTTTGTCCTCTTGTGCTTCTGCCATCACCATAAGTCACGCTTCACCAAATAACTGCTGCTCCCCTCCTCCCAGACCATTTCCAGGATGAATATGTAAGTAGTGGTTATGAACCTGATGCCCATCAGTGTAAAGCAGAGCATTGCAGTAAAGCTCAGCCTAAATCAGTCATACCCGTCCCACCTGCAGATAGGTGAGTGAGGATAAGTGATTGCAGTTTTAAGCCACTGGATTGGTTTGTAATAGTTCATGAATAACTGATGTGCCTATTAGAATGTGAAACTCAGCCAGATACAAGCCTCACAGTGCTGTTGAAATCCTGAGTTAAGAAATTTAAATGTACATGTAACCTTTGGTTTTATCCTGTTGGATATATGGAAATTATTTAGGAAAGCATCAAATGGGCCCATGAACTAGAAAAGCACAAGAAGGGGGGTTTTATAGCATTCTTATGCAAGAAAAGAAGCAAGTTCTGCCCTCACTAGTCATATTTGCCTTGTTTGGCATGTTATGGAAGAATTTTGTGTTGACTTGTGGTTTTTCTCTTTTGTGTTAATGTTGTATCCTTAGACAAAGACTGGGAGAAAATGATAATAATGCCTATTTATTGAGCACTTGCTATGACAGGCACAGTTTCAGGAGCTCATCATTCAGTTAGGACTCTACCAAGAGATGAGATAGAGATATTATTTCTACTTAGTAGATGAGAAAACTGAGGTTCTGAGTCTATAAGTAATTTGTCTAAGGTCACAGAGCTGGACAGTGGCATAGATAAAATTCCAACCAAACAACATCATTCCAGGATCTATACACTTAACTACAATGCAGCAGTGGAGTATTTCTAGCCTATGACTCATATATTACTCACATATAATACAGAAACATCTGGCTTCTCAGTACTGTTTCCCTCACAAATTTCAAGTAGCTCAAAACTGATTTTAAATACTGTGGTTTTGGCAATTTAAGGATTGCTAAGTGCAGGTGTCCAGAGTGTGTCCCTTTGTATTGAGTCTGCCAACTGCTTTCTTAAGCTTCTGTCCATCAGAATAGGGAAGGCAGCAGAACATCAAAGACCAGCACATGCGGGATGGACAACTGGGTGGTGCAGGCCTGAAAGGCAGGTGGGGGATGCCATGATAAAGCTGATTGTCATATATCTAACTTCCCTTTTGTAGCTGATCAGGAAATGTGGTTTTAAAAATAATAGTTGTAAAAAAATAATAATTGTAATAATAATGCAAATATACAGGTTATTAATGAAGATGGGCAATGGCATATTTGAAGTTATTTCAAAAAAGAAAGACAGAAAGAAAAATGTTTTCCAAAGCTATTATTTTTCTTTAGTGGCTAAGTATAGCTGTTTTTATCTACAAATGTGTATATTGAAGAGAGAACCTGCACATGATTGAGCTTTCTTTGTCCTAGATGCTAAAGTAATAAATGATGCTCCATTATAATTGTAATGCAAAGAGAGGCTTTTAAAATTAACTGCTGTGAATTTTAGGGTTATGAATTTTAGGGTTATGTAGAAATCAGAAATTTTAGCTTCAGCCAATCTGCTTTTTACTTAGTGATGAATAAGTTCATGGAGCAAATCAGATAAAAAATGAACAAGTCTTGGTCCCGAGCACCTCACCCAATTAGAACAAACTTAATAGTTCACAACATTCTCTTCAGGTTCCTCTCTTCTCTTCCCATACAATCATAGAATTTTAGAAATGGAGGAGACTTTCGTGTCATCTAGACAAATGTCTGTTTGGTTCTTGAATTTCCTCTGATGGAGGAGTGTACCATTTCTGGGGTAAATCCAACCTCACACCTGATGCATTTAGCTGACCATCTCAAACTTAACACGTCCCAAACCAACTTGCTCAAGCCAGGAATACTCATTCTTGCCCCACCCCCTTCATCCTTAACATCTAGCCCATTACCAAGTTATTCTGAGGGTAACTGCAAATATCTTATGGATGTCTTCACTTCCCTATGTGTTTACTTCCCTATGTGTCACAAATTGGGTCCCAGACACCATAATCTGTCTTGCATATTGATTTAATAGTTTCTAATTTCTCTGGTTCTGTACCTACATCTTTTAAATCTGTACTCCTAGCAAAACAGAGTGTTTTTTTTTTTTCTTTACTCCCTTCTGTAAAACCCTTCACCCTTCAATAGATTCATATTGTGCTTAGATATAACTATAAACTTTGGCCCTGCATCCTCTGATATTCTCATCTCTCTATACAGTGCTTATCAATGAGGACTTTCTTTGATTGCATTACACATCATTCCCATGCCCACTTTTAAGAATTAAATGGTATAATACATGTAAAGCACTCAGAATTGTGCCTAACAGACTTAATAGGTACATAGCTATTTTTATTATATTGCTGGTGTTTATTTATTCTATGTCTGCTTCTCTATTAGAATTTGAGGGGATGGGCTGTGTCTGTTTTGTTCAATGGCTCATACCTCAATACCTGGAAAATACAGTATTTGTATTTCATAATTTTATTTTATTTATTTATTTTAATATTTTTGTTTATTTATTTTAGAGAGAGAGAGGGAGCAGAGAGCACAAGCGGGAGGGTGGGGAGAAGGTCAGAGGGAGAGGGAGAGGGAGAAACAAACTCCCCACTGAGCAGGGAGCCCAATGTGGAACTTGATCCCAGGACCCTGAGATCATGACCCAAACGGAAGGCAGATGTTTAATCGACTGAGCCACCCAGGTGCCCTGTGTATTTCATAATTTTAAAATATATGTTGAATGAAATCTATATTTAGAAAGTTCTAGCCTATAGAAAGTTATTTTTTAAAGATTTATCTATTTTGTTTAGAGAGAGGGAGAGAGAGTGTGTGCACCCATGCAAGTAGGGGGAGGGGCAGAGGGAGAGGGAGACAAGCAGGGCTGTATCCCAGGATCCCGAGATCATGACCTGAGCCAAAATCAAGAGTTGGATGCTCAAGCAACTGAGCCACCCAGGGCCCCTAGATGATTATTTTTTATATTAAGTTGAAATTTATTTGTCATCCAGATGTTAGTCCTATTATAACTTTAGGACATTCTAAGTTATAGCCTCTTGTATAGTTATAGATATTTATATTTGTCTTTTTGTTAAATTTTTATTTTAGTTCCAGTTAGTTTACATACAGTGTTATGTTAGTTTCAGGTGTACAATGTAGTGATTCAACAATTCCACATGTCACCCAGTGTGCATTATAACAAGTTCCCTCTTTAATCGCCATCACCTATTTAATCCATCCCACCATCCCCCTCCCCTCTGGTAACCATCAGTTTGTACTCTATAATTAAGAGTCTGTTTCTTGATTTCTCTCTCTTATTTTTTCCCCTTAGCTTGTTTGTTTTCTTCTTAAATTCCACATATGAGTGAAATCATATGTTATTTGTCATTCTCTAACTTATTTCACCTAACATTATACTCTCAAGCTCTATCCATGTCCTTGCAAATGGCAAGTTTTCATTTTTTAAAGTAATCTCTACACCCAATGTGGTGCTCAAACTTAAAACCCCAAGATCAAGAGTTGCACACTCTACTAATTGAGCCAGCCAGGCACCCCTAGATTTCATTCTTTTTTATCCTGAATAATATTCCATTATGTATATATATACCACATCTTCTTTATCCATTCATCAATAGTGGAAACTTGGGCTGCTTCCACATCTTGAATATTGTAAATAATGCTGCTATAAACATAGGGGTGTGTGTATCTCTTTGAATTAGTGTACTTATTTTCTATGAGTAAATACCTGGTAGTGAGATTGCTGGATTATAGTTCTATTTTTAACTTTTTAGGGAATCTCCATACTATTTTCCACAGTGGCTGCACCAGATTGCGTTCTGACCAATAATACACAAGTGTTCCTTTCTCTCCACATCCTTGCTAACACCTGTTGTTTCTTATGTTGTTGATTGTAGCCATTTTGACTGGGGTGAGGTGATATCTCATTATAGTTTTGGTTTGCACTTCCCTAATGGTAAGTGATAATGAGTATCTTTTCATGTGTCTGTTGGCCATTTGGATGTCTTCTTTGGAGAAATGTCTGTTCATGTCTTCTGTCCATTTTTTAAATTGGATTATTTGGGGGCTTTGGGTGTTGAGTTGTATAAGTTCTTTATATATTTTGGATATTAACCCCTTATCATATATATCATTTGCAAATATCTTTTCCCATTCAGTAGATTGTGGTTTTGGTTTTTTGATTGTTTCTTTTGCTGTGCAGAAGTTTTTTTGTTTTGATGTAGTCCCAATAATTTATTTTTGCTTTTGTTTCCCTTGCTTCAGGAGACATATTGAGAACAATGTTGCTATGGCCAATGTCTAAGAAGTTTCTGCTTGTGTTCTCTGCTAGGATTTTTATGGTTACAGGTCTCACATTTAGGTATTCAATCCATTTTGAATTTGTTTTTGTGTATGGTATAAGAAAATGGTCCAGGTTCGCTCTTTTGCATGTTGCTGTCTGGTTTTCCCAGCACCGTTTCTTGAAGAGACTGTTTTTTTTTTCCCATTGGATATTCTTTCCTGCTTTGTCAAAGATTAATGGACCATATAAATTGTGGGTTTATTTCTGGATTTTTATTTCTGATCCATTGATATATGTGTGTATTTTTGTGCCAGTACTCTACTGTTTTGGTTACTACAGCTTGGTAATATAACTGGAAGTCTGGAATTGTGATGGCTCCAGCTTTGCTTTTCTTTTTTAAGATTACTTTGTCTGGGTGGTGGGAGAGATGGGGTGGCTAGGCGAAAGACATTGGGGAGGGTATGTGCTATGGTGAGCTCTGTGAATTGTGTAAGACTGATGAATCACAGACCTGTACCTCTGAAACAAATAATACATTATATGTTAAAAAAAAAAAGAAGATAGTAGGAAGGGAAAAATGAAGGGGGGGAAATCGGAGGAGGAGATGAACCATGAGAGACTATGGACTCTGAGAAACAAGCTGAGAGTTCTAGAGGGGAGGGGGCTGGAGGGATGGGTTAGCCTGGTGATGGGTATTAAAGAGGCATGTACTGAATGGAGCACTGGGTGTTATACACAAACAATGAATCATGGAACACTCCATGAAAAAAATAAATAGATAAATAAATAAGGATTACTTTGGCTACTTGAGCTCTTTTGTGGTTCTGTACAAATTTTAGGATTCTTTTTTCTACACATAATTATATTTATCTTCACCTATCTTTGCTATCACAACTGAATCAACATTGAATTCATCAAAATGTCTCTTGAAATAATTGAATTTAAATTTTTAAAATTCTAATAATTCTATAAATCCTAATAATTTTAAAACATCACTATTGGCATGTAAATATAGGTTACTAAGCATTTAAAATTTCCTACAAATTTCCAAAAGTTGTATAGTGTAAGAAAACTCAATATACCAAGAGGTGCACTTTTTTATTTACCAAATTATACTTTGCTTTAGAAGATTTTTACATTTAAAAACCATGTTATTTCAACATAGCATTTCTGTTTATTTTTTAGAAAATTTATTGATAAAATAAATTAGGATTTTATCTATAAACTATAAACCAAAGTACTCCTCTCTTATTAATATAGTAAGTTCAAGTTCTTAAATGAAGTTCAAGTTCTTAAATGAAGCTCTTAAGTTCGTAAGAATAAATTCTTTAGGGGCGCCTGGGTGGCTCAGATGGTTAGGCGTCTGCCTTCTGCTCAGGTCATGACCCCAGCATCCTGGGATCGAGCCCTGCATCGGGCTCCATGCTCGGCGGAGAGCCTGCTTCTCCCTCTCCCTCTGCCTCTCCCCCTGCTCATGCTCTCTCTCTCTGTATCTCAGTCTCAAATGAATAAAATCTTAATAAATAAATAAATAAATTCTTTAGATTTTGCCAATGTGTCAGTAGAGAAATATGCTTTCAGTTAAGTTTTCAATATGATCATGAAAACTTCATGTTTGGATAGGAAGGAACAGAAAGACTGGAAGGCTCAGTTAACAAGTTTTGCTGGAAGGGACTTGAAAATCGGCTTTTAAAAACCTAACTCAAGGGACACTGATGGCATCTATGGGTTACAAAAAAACTCATAATGATAAAAAGTACTGGCAGAATGTGCTGCTCCTGAAAAAAAGTCTAAAAACCAACAGCCTCTTGTATAGATTTTTGAGAAATAGTAAAGAACCTCAAATGATAATAGTGTTAAATGGCAAGCATATTATCCCTCTAGGGGAAAATATAATGAAAATCAAATGTTTTAGTGGTGTACAAACATTACATGAGATGGTGAGATAAACAATGGTTTATGTTTGATTAGTGTGGACAGGCAATCCTATAATTTGACTCAGAAGAAAATGAATACAGCTTCAGAGGATTTGAGGGACATTTTTATTCAAATAATCTAGATTATTACTTCAATTTTAATATAAAGCCATTAGCTGTTGGTGAAGAAAGTTTCTTTTTAACAAAAAGAGGTGCTTCGCAGAATTTTGGCTGAGGGCTATATGAAAGCAGTTCTGTGCAACCCCCTGGCTTATTCTACTTTTTATTACTTCATTTAACCATTTTGATATGAAATTATTGTGCCACATTTAGAAAATGTCTTAAAGTATACATACAAAATCATATAACTTAAACTAGCTGAACTCATAAATCAAACTATTTATGACTGTGTTTGTAGGCTTCAATATCCTGATGCCTCTATCCATCCTCCATACTACTACCAGAGCTTTCTCTAAAGTAGATTCTATTATGTTGGTCTTTATCTTCAAGATAACTCAATCTCCAGCATATGGTGTTAGCTTCCTTGCCTAATGTGCCACCTCCTTGATAATAGTGACCCAGTCTATGTTTACAATATAACCCGGTCTCTCAGCTTTACAACCTCTCTTAAAGCCTCCCCCTTGAGGTATGATTTCCCCTACATAGCGCACTTATCCATACTATCTCCTCTTCTGACTTGCATGGCCCAATTCATCTAACTGGATCAGTCATATTCTTGCTCCAAGATTCATCTCAAGAGTAATCTCCTCTCATTTGCTTTCTGTGGTAGGCAGAATAATAAAAACAAACAAACAAACAAGATGTCCATGTTCTAATCCCTGGAACCTATGAGTAGATTACCTTACTTGTGCAAAAAGACTTTGGAAATGTGCTTAAATTGAAGATCTTGAGATGGGGGAGATTATCCTGGATTAACTAGGTGGGCTGATTAGGGATCCTTGTCAAGGACAAGGGAAGCAGGGCCGTTAGAGAAATAGGCATGATGATGGAGTAAGAGGTCAGAGTGATGCAGTTTCTGGCTTTGAAAATGAAAGAAGGCTACAAGCCAGGGAATGCAGATAGCTTGTGGAATCTGGAAAGGGAGAAGAATAGATTCAGGTCGTATTGCCTCCAGAAGAAATACAGCTGTATTGATAAACTTGTTTTAGCCAGGGAGACCCGTTTTGGAATTCTGACCTCCAGAAGTATAAAATAATAAATTTGGGTTGTCTAAAGCCACCAAATTTGTGGTAATTTTTTATAGCAGCAATAGGAAACTAATACAGAACTTAGTACCTGGAAATGGAGTGCTGATGTAACAAATTCATAAAAATATAGAATGAACTTGGAGTTGGGCAATGGGCAGAGGCTGGAAGAATTTCAGGAACATGATAGTAAAAGCCTAGATTGCCTTGAATAGACTGTTAGAAATATGGATGTTAATGACTCTGCTAGGGAGGACTCAA